TCGGCCAGCGAGGCGCTTTCGTCGGCCTCGGCAACACCGAGCCCGGCACGAGCGCGGACGTCTTCGGCCTCGAGCAGCGCGGCGCTGTCGGGGACGGCGACTTCAGGCCGAGCGACGGCGGCGGCTATGTGGCGTACAAGAAGGCGGACTACGCGCACGCCCGCTCGGACACCGACGTGCAGATGTACCTGTTCGAAACCTTCGGCGGGTGGTGCAACGCGGTCAAGCGGCTGTTCTACCAGATGAAGGACAAACAAGGTGCGTGCGCAACAAGCTCTCGAAGCGGCAGCACGAGGACGAGGCGAGCTGGTCGACGCGGTCGTGGCTGTCGCTGCAGGCCCAGCGCATGTCAGTCGCGCTGCAGCTCGCGGCGGCGGAAGAGATTGCGACCGAGCTCACAGGCTCGCCGCGGCGTCGGAGGACGCCGCCGTCGCCTAGACTCTCCTGCGTCACTACGTGCCTCCCCGTCTTTGTAGCCTGGCGTTTGTGCCCCGTTTGTGCCGCGTCCCGTGCCCCCGAGTTCATTTTATAACAACAGTACTATTAAAAAATGAAATATCGGCGTAAACGAATCGTGTGCCAGAGAATCGTCGGCACGGCCCACAGGTCTAGGCCCATGCTTGCTCTCGCGATGCTGGCAGGCAGCCAGCCGGCCGCCTCCTGCGATCGGCCGCTGAGAGCTTGCTACGATGCCATGGGCGGGCAAAGCTGGAAAAACGCGGCGGGGCGGTCGTGGCTCGACGCCAATATTCCGTGCTGCGAGAAGGCGTTTGTCACCTGTCACAAGGAAAAGGAGGAAATTCGCACGATCGCGTGGCGGAGCATAGCGGGCCTGATGGGCACCATCCCGCCGCAGCTTGGTCTCCTCACGAGCCTCGAGGAGATCAACGTCGAGAGGACAGACCTCTCGGGGACGCTACCAGACGCCCTCTTCTCTGCGAGCTCCGAGATCGAAAAGGCGCCTCTCCCCCCTGCCCGTACCCGCCGCCCAAGCGACATTGCTCCGCCCTATGAGCGGTGGGACGGTGCCAGCTGACGAGCCTCAAAGTGACGCTCACAGCGAGCGCCCGCCTCTCCCTTTGCGCGCAGCTCAGGATCAAGCGGACCTCCATCACGGGCACCCTCCCTCCCTCCCTCTTCCTCTCCGGCACACTCGAGAAGGTCGTTGCCACCCTCGCCGCCGCCGCCATCTCCACCGCCATCTCCACCGCCCTCACCTCCTCGCCTCCGCCGCCATCACCCTCGCCACCTCCACCCTCGCCACCTCCACCCTCGCCACCTCCACCCTCGCCACCGCGCCCTTAGGTCTCCGCAAAGAAGGCGGGCCTCTCGGGCACCATCCCACCCACGATCGGGATGGCGACGAAGCTTGAGGAGAGTCGCGCTGCCGCGCCGCGCCGCACCCTCCAGCAACCCACGCGCGGCCGCCACAACGACCCTTCGCCATCCCTTCCCTATCTCACAGGAGATCGACCTCGAAGAGAGCTACAACTGCGGCAAGAAGAGCAAAGATTGAAGAGGGAGAACTGC